TTGAATACTTAAATGGATTGAGGAATATGAAAACCTGGGCTTTCAAAAGTAAGATTCCTTTGTTGAATTATCTACTAAGCTACTCGATTTTTCTCTCTCACGATATATATATATATATAAAGGTAATTCAAATGAAACCTGGTCAGTCCGTCTAATTTTGCGTTAAACGTAATGTGGAGAGGGGCACGTAGCTGCGTGTATGGCGGCACCATCTATTGGTAGAGGGATTGACGCATGCGCAACGTTTGACGTTGCATAGTGACAGTATGGTTGCACACCGAAGAGAAGGTGGTAACACAAGTTATCGTCCACAGACGGCCAATGCGGTGAAGACGGCATTGCAGCAGCTTCGGTGGAAAACGCTGGAACATCCACCGTACAGCCACACATTTCACATTGCGACTTTCATGTTCTAGGACCTCTAAAACAAGCTATTCTCGGACATCGATTCACAACGCAGAGATGCCAACTGCTCCGGACACGCTAAAATAATTAAAAAAAACGGTAAATAACTAAAAAGTAAATTTTGCAAATATTTGACTACTTTTGCTTGCTTTTTCAAATGTATAGCATGACTTAACTACGATAAAGTGGTGAGTTATATGTCTACGAATTATTTAGAAATAGTGGTGGATAAAAATCTACTAAATTGAATTTATTAAACCAAGAATCACAATTGATAAACTACCACTTTAAAATATTTATTTGCTGTCCGGAGCAAGTTGGCATCTCTGACAACGTTCGACGACGTGTGTGACTGGGTCCAGGCCTGGATCCGATAGGATCCAGGAGGATTGAAAGAGCTATTAGCTCTTTCAAAGATGGAATCGAGCGGCTAGTGTCGCAATGGGATAAATGTGCCAACAGTTTTGGCAACTATTCTTGAGTATCTGTACTGCATATCACTACATTTGTGAGTTTTTAAAATTGTTACCGTTACTTTACACTAGTGACTGAGTTTCATTTGAATGCCCTCATATATATATATTGTATACATCGTATATATTGTATATACATTTGGTTTTGATCCAGTCTAACATAAATCAACATCATAAACATTTTACAAATTCAGATAATCAATAATTCATTATTTGAACTTTGAAACTGTTTGTTTTTATGTCATGAATGTTGAAATATGTTTTAATTTCTGAAGTGAATGAAGTTTACAATCAGATAATATCTTCCGCTTCAGTTTCTTAGGATTATTTATTTAATGTTGTAATTTGTAATCGCGTATTTTCAAAACTCGGCATAGTTGCCAACTTTCACGTTTTCTGACGCGTATAATATTTTGCAAATAACAAATATATTAATAATATTCTGCAAATATGCAAGTATCAAAATAATAATTCAATTTACATTATCAAGTAGTAACGATTTTCTTTATTACTCTCAACCTCATAAATCTTAATCTAGACTACACTGTTTTCGTGCAATAGCTTTCAAAACAATATTAATGAACTTTAATTAAATAAAAAAATATAACCTAACTTGTTTAGCCCATAGCGGCTGTTTTTTATAGTTTCTAGCTAAAATTCTTTATTGTGGTAGTCATGTAAAAATTGTGTTAATAATTGTTACGAGAAATTATTTCAAATATGTAAATGCTCATTAACTTGAGAAAAAAAATCAGAATTTCATGGTTGTATAATTATGGTGTGAAGGCCAAAATCGTGATTAATCAATTTTGTTAAAGATAAAAAATATTAATCGATAGATTTGTTACCAATTTCAGAATATAAAGAATGAAGAAAAGTAAGCCTCATTACTGATAACCGAAAAGTACCTATTGAACGCAAAAAAATTAAAATTCAGTGTGCACAGGTTATTTGCTTATTGAACCGTTTATGATGTCAAATTATTTCATTTAAGTTATGGTGTATTTGAAAATTGACAATAAAGGGAATGTACCTGTGGATTGTGAAGTTAAAGAAGACCTGGCATTTACAACAATGGAGATTTTTATTTAGTGAGTATAACTTTTCGGTTCATTGTTTTCATGTGTTAATTCTGCCGATAAAAGAAACTTCCAAAAGTAATTTACCCTATATTTTTGAAATGTAAAATTTTTTGCTGTAAAATTACATCGGTCTAGAGGTTTAATATTTCTTCTACGTAATCTATATTTAGGTCGATGCATTTTTGGAGATACTGTATTAATTTTTGCTTACTCATGTCATACCAGCATGTCTTCACTATGTTTTTGAAAAAGCACTGTACTTATTTTTCGCATCGTATCCAGTTAAATCGTCGCTTTCTCGAAATGATTATCATCTGTGAATAATTGAATGATTATCATCTTCCACCTTATAGTCCTGCCTTTTCTCTCAGCGATTAAGTTGAAAAAAAAATATGTGGCCGAAATAGAAAAGAAGATGAGATGAAAGATTTAGTCCAACACAAGAGCTTATTTAGGTACAACATGGGGCATACAAATAAAGTCACAGCGTGTATAAAAACGCACAATACACAAGGGATAATAAAGAATTGCACACTACACGTAAATACAGACATTCAATTGAGTAGAATACTTAAATGACCATAGAATAGCTCAGTTGAAAAAGCAGATAAGTGACACTTTCAAAAGGTATTAGGTCTACCTCTTTAAAATGTTTAAACTGCCTTAAAAGAAATTTATTTGATACAAGTCAATATTATCATTGCCACGAGGAAAAGCTATATCTTTTCTGTTTCTCAGAGGAGCAAAATTTCCGTGATGATTATTATAACATACATTGATATAGAAAAAAATCGATAAATAAGCTAGGTAGAATGTCTACTGCCTTAAACAAAAATCAAGTAGTGTAACTTTAAATTGGCACTTCGCTTTCAATTCCTACAATTAGTTCTCACTCTCCATATATATATTTATATATCTAGTTCATATTTTCAATCATTAATTAAGTACTTTTTATTCATCCACTCTTCAAATACATTTTCTAAAGCTTGTAGTGGAAAACACTTGATGTTCATACACTTTTTTTTGAAATATTAATTAAATTTAATTAACTAGTTTTAGATAGGGGGAAAAAATTCCCTTATAGGGGAAAGTTGGACAAAACGGGATACCATTATTGTTTTCATTTACTACGGAAAATCTGCTAAAGTGAACCACACATTTTTTTATAGCTACATCACTTGTTGAAGCACAGAAAAAACATATTTTAAACTAATTTTAATGACTGTAAAATAGAAAAAAAATCGTTTTCCAAACTCTTACATATCCCGTTTTAGTATACCTGGGTTGGACAAAACGAAATAGGTTTTACAGTGTTTAATTTTTTGTATAAAACTAACTAAAAAACATAATTAACTGACAGAAAACTGTAAAGCAAAATTTCTAAAAATTTTATTTATGGGATTTAATTGCTTCTAATATTTTTGTATAGACTGTTGTTTAATAATTAAGTACACAAAAATTACGATGCTAATTTTCACTGTCGAGATGTATCTGGTGCCCACAAGAGGGATTTCTTAGCAGTTCTTTCTTCAATTCTCTTGGTTCATTCTTGTAGTTTAATCCTCCTTTATTTTTCTTCAATTTATAATTCAATTTCATATGGAGATGATGTTATTACTCCAGTTTTCTTCTTTCTCTTCCCATTTTTTCTGGGAGCGGTCCTTTTTCTTGAGGTACAGGTAGAACACACTTTGAAAGGATGGAAATGGGTAGCTTAGGTCGATAACAAGAGAGTTATAATCCTAAAACTGCACTCATCAGTCATATCAGTCTGGTGTCTAACGCCTGGTGGTTCTTGCTGTTAGATCAGTGATGACAGACAATTCAAACAGGTGATCTGGGAAGACGTCAGGATTGTAAGGACTTATACCAGTTTTGCTAAACCCTTTAATGGTAGTTTCTGCAACTGCTGCCCGTGAGTTGAACAGTTTTGTAACCTCGTAAATAGTAACTCACCTACCTGGATGGTTGAACAGCCACTTTCGAACTTCTTGTTCATAATACGTGCTCAGTGGTGCCACGAAACTGACATCCAGGGGCTGAAGGCGATGAGTTGTATGTGGGAGAAGGTTAGGATGATTACATTATTTTATCTTGCCAAATTTACAAGTTCCAAACTTTTGGTGTGACTGTTGCGTCTATCAAGCAGCAACAGCACTGGCTTCTTATGCCTAGGGTTGAAAAATTCTACGATCTTTTAAAACTAAACAATGAAGATCTTCTTAGTGATCCAGTCGGTCTTGTGATACACTTCAAACGATCCTGGGAAAGCATAATCCTCGAGTCTTGGGTTTTTCTTCACTCGAGGATACAAACATAGGAGGGACGAATACCCCAGCTGCACTGATGCATGTTTCAACAGTAACCAAAACTCCTCATTCGGCTGAAGATAAGCTACCCACTTGCTTTTCGCCTCGTAAACTCAACACTTTTGAAGGCTTGTCTGGCGCTGTTAGAATTCCTATTTCATCAACATTATAAATATCATTTGGAGTAACCTTATGTTTACTTAATAGAGAATTCAAAAAACTGCTTAACTGCAGCACGATTAAACCCTTTTGCTCGGGCCACACTCGTGGGTTCTGGATTGAGGAGGCTAAGTTCTTCATGTCTGCCAAGAAATGATTACAATCAACATTTTCCAGCCATTTTTCTTCTGTGTTAAAATTATGCTTAATATTGTTTCTCTCAGCTAACTCAAATGCTAGCATTCGTATGTCCGTACGAGTTATACCAAATAATCTCTCTTCTAGAGCCAACACATGCTCATGCGTTTTTTCTTGTTCAGCATTGAATACTGTCTCATATCTGTCCAACTTTTTCACTGCTGCTACTACAGGGCTTAATGTATTTGTACGAGCCTTTTTTACCTTTCTTTCAATATAGTAATAATAATATAGTAGAAGTATTAGGGCAACAAATAAATAGGTGGACAAAACGGGACATAAAAAACTACATCCCGCTTTATCCAACTCATAAGTGTCCCGTTTTGTCAAACTCAGACACTTTTCAAAACAAATATGGCTGCTGCCTAAACGTGGAAGAAAAATTAGATTGACTATACATGTAATACTCACCGGAATTGTAATCCCATATATATAGGCAGTACAACGAACGTAAATGTAGAAAATGGAAAAGAAAACGGAGTAAAGCAGTTCTGAGACCTACAACTTTCTATCAACTTGTGATCTCGAGGCGAGACGCACTGAAAATGATATAATCACAGTCAAATAACAAGTTTCTGTCGTCGCCCGCTAGATAGCTGCAATAGTCTGGTCCCTGGGCGACGTATCCCGTTTTATCCAACTCTCCTCTATAAGATATTTATCTGTAAATAGGAATTGACTTAAATTCTTTTTATATTACTTGTTAAAAACTAAGCTAGGTTGTAACGGGCATGGGTGAAAGCCCTTATATACCAAGACGGAAAAGAGAAAAACCAGGTACGTAAAACATTTCATTCCAGCATTTTTTTTCAAAAAAAATGAAATATCTGTAACTATCAAGATTTCTTTTATAATTCTGGCATATATATAAAACTGCTTCTTTTCCAAGATAAAGTAGATATTGTTGAAAAATTTAAAAAAAGAATAAGTAACCTCCTTCCCAAAACTAGCTATAACTGAAATGGTTTTACTACCAGCCTTTCCTCTTTTCCGTCTCGCTTTCACCCCTGGTCACGGGCAACAAACTGCGCTGAATGTGGGGATTGATAAAATTCAAAATTTTATTTAGTCATTTAATTTTGCAACATTTTCTGGCAATTTTCGCAGGCTTGCAGCTGTGGTAGGAAGATTAATGATTTTTGTTTGATATATGAATAATTTAGAATGTAATTTACAGTGGTAGTTACGATTAAAATATTTAATAAATAAAAAAAGTGTATTTAGTTTTTACATTTTTAGTCGCCCATGGCATTTAAATTATACCTTAAAATGGAAATTATATCTTAAAACTTGAGTTAATCATAGAAAAATAGTGAATTCGTAATAAAGGTTACGAAAATTCTAGTGACATTGATGCTTTTATGTCTACCGGAGTGTTCTGTGTTTTGTCGGCAAATGTACAGTGCACCAAAAAAAAAAAAACGGGCCAAGCTGTATAACTTTTAATTTAATGTTCGGATTTTCACGTTCTAGGACTCTTTCTTATAGGCTTGAGAGGGTAACGTCAAATATACTAATATAAAATAAGAGCAGGCAATACTTTATGTTACGAAATTAGACAGAAAACGTACTTTCTTCGACTGATTCGGATTTCTGACGTCCAAAATATAGTAGCCCCTGTCTGGAAAATATGGTTCCAATAGTTTGGTCAGGAGAGAGATCCAAAGCTTGGACCCCTTAATGTTAATTTCACTTTTCATGTATTTCGCTTATATCGAGAACTTTTTAAGCGAATTGAAAATTTTTTTAAAATTCACGTAACAAAAAATAATCCCATGCAGAAAGTAATTTTTAGTAAATAATATTTATTACTTTTTATTATTTTATTTAAGAATGGTCGTAAAAATTTTGAATTGTGATGTATAAATTTTTTTTTGCATAGTTTTAACGAATGCAATTTTATACAGCTAAGTACAAACTTTGAGCAAAATAGTTCGAATAGTGCCTGAGAAATTGTATCTCAAATAAGTCAGATACTTACATTTATATATAAAATTGATTGAATCCTAAAACGTATAAATCCGATCAAAATATATTCTTCAGGGGGATTCGTTTTTTTCCACANATCGCAAATGTCATTTACACACTTAAATACAAAATTCAAATTCAAATTGAAAGCGTTGCAACGCACGCAGGGTACAGCTAGTAATAGGATAAAACGCTGCATTTTTTCATGTTTGGAACAACCAGATTATTTCAATAGTATCTCCAATAAAAGTACCTAAATCAGAAGAAGAAATTGAATTTTTATCTCTAAGATCAAGAGTTAGGACTAAAAACTTTTTCGCTTTTTCTAACAAATTTTATACCAATTTATATTTTTTTCTCCAAGTGCCTACGAACTCCATTTCCCTGCCTTTTCAAATTCTTAGTTGACACCGAATTTCTTTAGAATTAACAGAATATTTTTCTTAAATTTATCTTTAAACATTAAAACATTGTACAGTTTGCAAACATTTTTGTCATACAGGGAAATTAGTAGACTACATTTGCAAAACTTTTCCTAGCCATCTAAACAGTTTGCAAATATTTTTTCATATAGGAAAATCAATAAAATACATTTACAAAACATTTCTTGGCCATCTAAATCGCTAGCAAATATTTTTTTCATATAGTAAAATTAAGAAAATATATTTACAAAACATCTTCTGGCCATCTAAATCCTTTGCAAATATTTTTTTTTCACATAGGAAAATCAGTAAAATACATTTACAAAACGTTTCCTGGCCATCTAAACAGCTTGCAAATATTTTTCTTCATATCATATCAATAAAATATATTTACAAAACGTTTCCTGGCCATCTAAATCACTTGCAAATATTTTTTTGATATAGTAAAGTCAAGAAAATATATTTACAAAACATTTCCTGGCCATCTAAATCGTTTGCAAATTTTCTTTTTCATATAGTAAAATCAATAAAACACATTTACAAAACGCTTCCTGGCCATCTAAATCGCTTGCAAATATTTTTTTGATATAGTAAAGTCAAGAAAATATATTTACAAAACATTTCCTGGTCATCTAAATCGTTTGCAAATTTTTTTTTTCATATAGTAAAATCAATAAAATACATTTACAAAACGTTTCCTGGCCATCTAAATCGTTTGCAAATATTTTTTTCATATTGTAAAATCAAGAAAATATCGGGTTGGAGGGAAAGTTCTGTCGTATTTTAAAGAAAATATTTGAATTCATTTATAAAAATATGCGTTTAATATTAATCAATTTTATATGCTTCGTTATTTGTTACAACCTGTTGCAATCTTTCAGGTAACCTGTGAATTCCTGTTTAGTAGAAGTTCTCGTCCTTAGAATTGAAATAGTCAGCAACTGCCTTAGAAACACTTACAAAAGACTTGAATTTTTTACCCGTTAGATAATTTTGCAGAGATCTGAACAGATAACAATCTGATGGTGCAATGTCAGGTGAATACGGTGGGTGACTAAGGATTTCCCATCCTAACGCATTCAGTTTTTGAAGTGTCACAATTGCAGTATGCGGGCGAGCATTATCGTGGTGGAACACTATTCCTTTTCTGGACGCTAATGTTGGCCTTTTTTCTTTGATAGCTGCTTTTAATTTATCTAGCTGATTGCAGTACAGAACAGCGTTGATGGGTTTTCCCTGTTTCTGCAACTCGTAGTACACTGGACCTTTCCTGTCCCACCACAAACAAAGCAGTACTTTTCGCTGATGGATACTTGGTTTTGGAACTGTTGCTGACGATGTTCCTGGTTCGCAGTAGGATTTTTTTCTCTTAATATTCTCGTAAAGATTCCACTTTTCATCTCCAGTAACCAGCCTGTCCAAAAACGGCTCCGCATTGTCTCTAATCAGATGTGATGAACACATTCTTACACGATCAGACAAATTCTTTTCCGTTATTTCATGTGGAACCCAAACACTTTGCTTTAACACAAACCCAAGAGATTTGATGTGATCTCCAACAGTTGTATGATGAATGCCAAACTCTTCTGCAATTTTTCGACTTGTTAAATGTGGATTATTTTCCAACATGGATTGCAAAACATCACTATTGATTGACGACAGAACTTTCCCTCCAACCCAATAATTTTTAGTAAATAATATTTATTACTTTTTATTATTTTATTTAAGAATGGTCGTAAAAAGTTTGAATTGTGATGTATAATTTTTTTTTTTTGCATAGTTTTGACGAATGCAATTTTATACAGCTAAGTACAAACTTTGAGCAAAATAGGTCGAATAGTGCATGAGAAATTGTATCTCATATAAGTCAGATTCTTACATTTATATATAAAATTGATTGAATCCTAAAACGTATAAATCCGATCAAAATATATTCTTCAGGGGGATTCGTTTTTTTCCACACTGTACACTTCTCTTTTAATGATTATGCAAAAGGCTCTTTTATAAAAGAAATTGTACGGTATTAACTCGTTAGTAATGTTCTATTTTAAAGAGATAGTGCAAATGGGCATGTGCATACACATTCTAACTTGTAACAATTGTTTCCGACAGAAGTTGGCGGTGCATCTGATGTGTAATTTGAAGGGTGTATGACCTACCACTGTGTTTAAAAAAGGTATCTTTTGCATCCTTGTATAATCATGGAGAAAATTTTCTGGTAGCAGAGATGCCGATTGCTCCAAATGGGAAAAAAATTAAGTAATAATGCAGATTTGAAGCACAACTTGAAATCTGCAGCTTTTTCATAGATGCCAACTTGCTCCGGACAGCAAATATATATTTTAAAGTGGTAGTTTATCAATAGTGATTCTTGGTTTAACTCAATTCAATTTAGTAGATTTTTATCCACCATTATTTCTAAATAATTCTTAGGCTTATATAATTCACCACTTTATAAAACTTACGTTACGTTATACTTTCATACCTGCCAACTTTTAATCCTTTCGAGGATGATTTTCCCCAGTGGTAGTAAAATGGAATGTAAATTGCAATTATAATCAGAAACATATGCCGTATTTTGAGGAAGCTTATACGGACTGACGTAAAAGTATTACATTTAAATATATATGCTTATTTTTTTAAAAAATAGTGGTGGTCAAATAGATTATAAATTAAGTTTATAAATGCTAAGAATATATAGAAAGGATGCATTTTGCAACCACTTTAAATACAGAAATAAAATTTTACGCCAAATGCGTAAAAGTTGGCAGGTATGTACCTTTTAAAAAGCAAGCAAAAATAGTCAAATATTTTCAAAATTATCTTTGTAGTTATTTACCGTTTTTTAATTATTTTGGCATGTCCGGAGCAGTTGGCATCTCTGCATTTTGGGTAAATTTGCAAGCTGCAAAGTTTCGATGCGGTATATCTGCAACTTCAATAAATTAAATCTTTGAATTTTTTAGCAGTGGTAGATAAAAACACTATAAATCGACTTTACTAATCTAAGAATCATAGTATAAAACATACACGTTGCTACCACTGGATATCCGGAGCAAGTTGGCTTGTTGGAGCACTGGCTGTAGGTTTTAATTCATAAATCACAAAAATAACATCGCATGGTCGCATTAATACGAGTATGTATAAATGTGTTTTTGCTTTCACGAAAATTTCAACAAAACTAACCGCATAAATTTTGAAAATGCTTGCATGAATGCTATTTCAAAGTAGTTTAAATATTAATTTTAAAGTAATTGAAATTAAAAAAAAATTAAATAAAAAAAATTATATTTGAAAATCCCAAGTTATAAAACACAGGAGGTTGTATCGAATACAGAGGAGACAGTTTTTATTAAAAAAAACATTTATTTAAAGCATCTAAAAGGCTTATATAATTTCCAATTCTCGTAACGGGTTCGTGAACACATTAAAAAACAGTTTTCTCAAAAGTAAATGCATAAATAAAATAAAATAAAAACTAGCTCTCCGACGTTCCAAAATTGTATGCTTCATTTACTGTTTTTTCATCAAGGCTTTTGTTAGCTGGATTTTCTTAGGGACTTAGGGAAGATAATTTAAACAGGGTTCCCACGGTTTTTGAAAAACTTCAGTAGTGTAAGTATATTTAGGATAAAAAAAAATTATTTTTTTCATCAAATATTCGCTTCTGAGGTCTCTTCGTTTGACGCTTACGAAAGAGGTATGATTTCATCTAAATTTAATATGATCCTTTGTACAAAATATCTGGAAATGTGTAGTTAAAAAGTTTGGGAAAGTTATTTCATATTGTAAACAAAAATATTACTCATTAAACTTTAGTTTTTATCTTTTTTAGCATATTATTCAGCTTTTTAGTCTGTTTGGTGGTGCTAGGAACTTCATTGGATATTCTAATCAGAAATAATCCAAAAAATGATTTTGAAAAAAAGGAGAAAAGTAAGTTTTTTATTTTAAAAAAATACAGTAGAACCTCGGTTTATTATTTTTCATGGGGCTATTCATAGCTAATGATAGATGAGGGAAAACGACGATTGTTTGCTTAGATAAAATATCAAATAATGACTTGAAAACATATGAAAAGTAATAAAAACTACAGAATTGTAAATTAAAAATTGTTTTAATTAAAAAATTAATTATGTACTTATTGTAAAATAAAGCGAAATAAATACATTTATTTATTCAAAATATTTGGAAATCTTAGCTTTAAAACACTCTTCTCTTTTCATCGTAAATAATATTTTTTCGACTAAGTAATAAACAATGTTCGGAAGTAGCTAGCACGCTACAAGTAGTGAAACTACTGTAGTCGCTGATTTTTTCGTAGTTTGTAGTGTAGTGTGCTACTTTTTTTTAAAAAAGTAGTGTGGTGAGTAGATCGATAGAAAAAGAGAAACATTACTTTTAAGCTTAGTTTAGAATAGACCTTAGTTAGAACGGTTCTAACGCAACTAATTATTCGAATTAGATACGTACAAATTTGCACGAGTCCGTCGATGGATGCAACGGAAATGACCCTGTTTCTGTAGCTGAGCGTTAACAGAAACGACGTATTTAAAATTACATATAAGATGTTATTTCGAAAAAGGGGAACGTATTTTCAATGACTATAACTTCTGAAAGAAAAAAGAGCATTAAACAATTAAAAAATTGCAAGTATTCGATAATTTTGGATTTCTTAAATTAAATATTTGTTTTAAAAAGCATACAAAGTTGAAGGTTAAAAAAAAAAAAATTCGGTAAATGTTTTGGAATAACATGAATAAATATTTCTTAATTATTCCTTATATTTAATATTAGCCAACTTCTTATTCAAAACCCTTTTGAATATAGGTGTAACTTAAGTTCTCCAGCTAAGCACGTCTCCTTAAGGAAACAGTTACTAATTTTCAAAGTTGTTTCTATTCACCACATTTGAAAAATAATCAGTTGCAGTTGTAGTTAACTACGTTTGCAACAAAGTAGCTGTAGTTGTAGTAAACTACAAAAATGATGTAGTTTTTCCGACCACTGGTAATAGATTACTGATGTTTAATTTCTGCAATTTTGAATGATTTTCCTTATTGTTTCAAAGGCTTTAAGAATTTCCAACAATGTTTTCACCTATCGTAGTTCTATTTCGTCATATTCATTAACATTACTATACATTTCTTCGGTTTTTGCAACAATTTCTTGAACAGTCAACATCACAATTTCAATTTTTTCTTCAACTGATGCATAATCATTTAATGTACTAGAAGCGTCTCTTCCAAACTGTAACAAATCCTCATTTTCGGCATCATTAGCGTCAGAATTACTATTACTGTTTTCCTTCACAAAACAAAATAACTTAAATGCTTGTCTTGAGAGAGCTCGCCTCTTCATGAGGTAACCCCGGTTCGAATCCCAGTTATGGCTGGTTGATACGAATTTCGCACCTAGCTTTCACCGACCACAGTGTTGACGTAAAATATCCTCATTGATAGACGGATTAGGGGGTAAGAGTATCCTTGGCATCAAGCTAGCTGTGAATTGTTTTCGTGGTTTTCTTCCCCATGTAACGTAAAATGTTTATTAGTTCCATCAAAAAGTCTTCCACGAAGTCTAATTTGTCCCACTGTTTCTGTAGTCCGTGGATTGAGATTCAGACAGAAAGTAAAGGTTTATTAACAAAAAGCAAAGAAACACATACAAATTTAAAAAGAACGCCATCTGGCGGTATAAGAAGAAAAAGACTTCGTAGCAATCCTTCCCTGGGAATGACAACAGTTTCATCCAGGAGTTCTCTTGTCTTCTGGATTGGGTTCACAATTACAATAATACTGAGTTGAACATTGGTAGTCGTGAGCTCAAAATTGGGTCAGCTGTTCAGCGACCGTTATAAAATACTTGTTTTAAATGACGGTAGAATTTTTGAACGACGGTCACGGAATATGCTAGTTTTAAAAAGCGAACTAAACGGATATTATCAGCCTTATATATGTATGTATAATTGACGGGATCGTTAACATAAGATTGTGCATACGGGTAAACGAAAGATTCGGGATCGATGGATCGAGGTTCGACAATATATTATTCATATATCATCAGCCCATTAAATATCACTTTAACTTTATTTTAATTTCCAGGTGCAGGAATAAAGGCATTATTATGTTTTTCTTTATACACAAACTTCATTAGTCTTTTAAAGGTGGACAACAATCCAGATACTCTACACGTATTCCATGGTCTTCGAGTATTATCAATGACTTGGATAGTATGGAGTCATTCATATCTTGTTGTTAGTTTCCGAGCATATGGTAAAAAAATTCAACCCTTTCAATGCTTATTTTGCGATTAAAAATCTTAAGTACATTTGCGAAATAAATAATTAAAGGAAATATATCAATGAAATAAGATCATAGGTGATAGAAAAAGAAAAGCGAAAATGAAGAAAATTGACGCTAATTAAAATTAAAAATTTACACAAAAATCTGTAGACGTATGAAAGAAAAACGTGAATAATGCTTTGTCTATTTTAGGGAGAATTTCTTTTGGTCGCGCATGTTCAGGAAAATTTCCCCAACACACTTTGAAAAATAATGATCAAAGCTTTTAGAAAAGCAATGTCCAGTGATCTGCCAAAATGAATTAAAATAGTTATAAACAAATGAGCAGTGCAAGTAGAAATTTCCCAACTTTTGTTGATTATGTATAAAATATTTTGTAAAAGGCGTGTAGTATTTGGCAGCCCTGTATATGTAAAAATCACCAATGTGTATGTATCTTGATTCACATAGCTTTTGAACAGTATTTTATTCTGTAAAGTGCTATAACAATACCATGGATGTATAATTATCAATTCTATTCACTGTATAATGAATTATTAACTAAAATAACCCCTTGCATATAAAAGTACTTATACTTATCAAATTTATAAAATACTTATCAAATTTATATATTAAAAAAAATAAAAACTATGCTTCCTATTCCAGAAACCGATAATCTTTTACCTGTTGGCAAGGTTGTCACGGGCGACTAAAATTCCAAAAAGTGCTAGTTATATTGAAATTCAAAATATTAATAAACTAAATTAAATTTAGCAACACTCAAAGGCATATTCTTTTCAGTTAATTTCAAATAGTGGGACTTGATAGGTGGAGGATTAGAGTACTTGCCCTCTCATCTCACTCCTTCATCTGAGATTCACATAAGTGACTGGGACTAATGGCGTTGGCAAAAAAGATTCGAGTGTAGGCTGGACAGCCTCTGTAAATTACAGTCAGATCTGAATTTAGAGATATAAATAAAACGATATGCATTAACTAGAATATGAGGGTATGGAGATATAGAATATATTGATCTTTATCTGGCTTATGATCAAATAGTGTGACGACGATCTGTAGTAGATAAGGTACCTGCCCGCGTAAGCGGCCACCAGACCCCTTAATCTGTGATTTGCCCTAGGGCAACTGATACTGTTGGGCGAAATATGTTTATATGTGAATAATATGAATGAGTCATAGTGGTAGAAACGATTGAATAATTAAAGTGATATTAAAGAAATAAAATTAATTAAGTTTCTACCAATTTTTACATGAACTCTTTTTATCTTTCAAAATTTAGCTTTTAATTTTCATTACCGTATTTATTTGCACACTTAAAAAAAACATCGAGTGAGTTTAGAAAAAAAAGGGGGGGGGGATTCTAACTATTTGTCTCCTAGAATTGTAAATCAACAATGAATATAAACATAACATTAATGAATATAAATTATAATTATTTATTAATATTATTTTATTGTGTCTACTTTATTATGTTTAAATTATTCAAGATCATTTTTTTTTCAACAACAATATATATATTTAATTCAAAAGAACGAGCTGTAGAGCCCTAGACAGTTATATGCCTAGAGCAGAAATTTGCAAACTTTTTTGGTCGAGGGCAAAAATTCGAGAAAAAAAAGTTTGGTGGACAAAGTAAAAATTTCTGAAAAAAATAATAATAATAAAACGATATACAAGTTTTAGCTTAAGTACTTAATGAGATTAATGAAATTGCGATTTCATTTGATTTTCTGATCATGAGATATTAAATTTTGGAAACTAACTTTTGGTAATGATTTGTAAAACTCAAACTTTGGCATATTTAAGAACAACTGCTGCAGATGATTGTTAGATTGCAGTTCAATTAATTCAAGCTGAAAATCCGACCTCACTGTTACACAATTTACGTTGAAAGGCACGGTAAAAATATCTAATTTTGTCTTAATTGCACTGAAATCTTGAAATCTTAAACTCAAAATAGAGTTTTTTCAAGCTATATTCATAATTCTGAAGCTTTTCCTTATTAACTGAGGGTATTGAATTTAACCTAGCGGAAAAAGACAAGTCCTTCTTAGCTAGCTGCCCAGCAAGCATATTAAGCTACAGTTTAAAAGCTTTGAGATGGGCCCAGATATCATAGAAGAATTTTCCCTTGCATCCTAACATTCAAGTTGTTCATATGACAATGAAAATTTGTGAAAAATGCCAAGTCTGAAGCCATTCTGTATCTTCTAATATTTCGTACTCTGCTGAAGACTGTTTCTCATAGGAGGACGACACTATCTCGTCTTTCAACTGACAAACTTGTTCTAAAACACATCCTGCCATAAGTCACTTTACTCGACGAAACTTACTTAGTACAGTACATCATCTTCTTCTTCTTGGGCACTACAGCCTATGACAGGCCAAGACCGATCCAATAAGTTTTTGCCATCCTAATATATTTTGCGTCATGGCCTTCCAGTTAGTTATTCCTATTATCTTTAGGTCCCTCTCAACTGCGTCTAGCCACCTAGTCGGTGGACGACCCCTTTTTCTTGTACTTTTTGGTTTAGAAAAAGTTACTTTTTTGCTGGGTTTTGGTTTTCAGATCTATAAAGGTGTCCCAGCCATCGAATGCGATTGGCCTTAATAACATGAACTATGTCTTTCTGT